GGGGGTCATAAATCTGAGAAATAATAGATAGAATTTTTCTTTTAGTGATGAGATGAAATGGTTGGCATGATGAAATATTGTGTTTTAAAAAATCTTGTTTACTGGATCACTGAACGCCTAGTGTTTTAAAGCTTTCCGACTCACCAATATTTAGGATTTTGTTCGGGATGTCAATTGACTCATAAAGTTCAAGGTTGCGGGATCATTAGAGATCCATTTTCTTAAGATAAAATTTGCGGATTTAGGAATTGATGAGATGTCCTTACACCTTATCTGAAGTTCCGTCATATCATTTGAACCTGTTAAAAGATCGTCTACATAAAAGTCAGTTAAAATGGTTTTAGAAGCGATGGGTAACTTGGATTCATTTTCTATGGCTAGCTGATTCATGTATCTAATAGCAGGGTAACCTGCGGCCTTGGTACCGTATGTGACTGTGTTTAATTGGAACACTGAGAGATTTTCAGTAGCGCTATCTCTCCAGATAATTTATTGAAGTGGTCGATGCTCAGGATGCATCCAAACTTGTCTATAAATTTTTGACATCGGCAGAAACTACGTACTTGTATAACCTAAATCTGAGTAATATATTAAATATATCATTCTGAACCTTTGGACCTGTGAGTTGCAAGTCATTGAGTGATCACCCTGAACTAATTTGACAAGAGCCATCGAATACAATTCTAAGTTTTGTGGTAATGCTAGACTCCTTTAGAACCCCATGATGGGGTAGATAATAACTGGGGAGGTGTGAAGATATATTTGAAACCTTTGTCATGTGATCTAGTTGAATGTATTCATTATTAAAATAGTTATATTGATTATGAAGGTTGTTATTTGAGTTGAATTTTCTCTCTAGTGATAGAAATCGTTTAATTGCTGTTTCCTTGGAATCACCTAGTAAACTTGTGTCATTTTTGAATGAAAATTTAACGGTAAATTGACCGGTATTGTCTCTGGTTGTGTTACTAGCAAAAGTTCTTCGCAAACTATTTCATCTGGTGACATTTTTATTGACTCATTAATTTCGTTTAGTTCCCAAAATTTTCTGAGCTGAATATCTTCGGGTATAAGGTTTTTCGAGAAATTACAAGTAGATATTTGCACGGTGCTTAAAAAGATCCCTGAAACAATCCACTCCAATTTTGTGTTTTGTAGCGTAGGGCCCCTATTGCCCAAGGTAATTTTTCCATCTAGTACTAGATCCCAAAATTGGGTAACGTCCATAAGCATATCTATTTCATTAGGGACATTGAATTCTGGATCAGAGAGGTTTATGTTTTCTGGGATTTTAATGAGTGATGTATTTAACCGTTCAGTTGGTGTTGTAGAAGAAATGATAGGAGTAACAGCAGATTAAATTGTATTGAAAATTATTAAAATTGGAAAAAATGGTGACTTTAGTTTTATTTGTGAGAGTAGAAATAGATTGGTTTATTTATGCCTATGACATCAAAGGGGATGTCTCCATATCAACGCAGATATTATCTCCAGGTGACCCTGTTTATAACGACAATGCCGGTACTGTAAAAGATTTGAAGAACGAGAGGAGGTGGTTAAAGAAGTGAGTCTACAGGTGACCACTATCAAGACAGAGGATAACGAAGACGGAATCACCCTTGAAAGCATAAGAAAGACTTAAAAGAAAGACAATGACTTGAAGGTTGTCCGAGAATGGCTAAGAAATGGAGTCAGACCTACATGGCCAATATAGTGGAACCATTAAAAGGTATTGCCTGGCCTATTTCACCTGAACACCAGAAATGGGAGAGCCCCGATGGAGTACATGTAGTCCGCCAAGTGATTCTGCCGAAATCACAGGTCAGAAATGTATTGGAGGAGCTTCATAGGAGCCCTTCAGGAGGACACTTTAGTACTAAAAGGACACTTGCACGAGTTCGGGAAAGATTTTATTGGGTCAATTGCCGACGGGATGTAGAAGATTGTTGTTAGGAATGTAACCTTTGTAATGGCAGAAAAGGGCCCAAAACAAGAAGTCAAGGTAAAATGGCACAGTACCTTTCCGGAGAGCTTTTCGAACGGATCGCCTCGGACCACTTCCCTTAACAGAAAGAGGAAACAAATATTTAATGATTGTTATGGACTATTTTTAAAAGTGGCCCGAAATAATTCCTATTCCCAATCAGGAACCGACGACAGTTGCGAAAGCATTTATGACGAACGTCATTGCAAGACACAGAGTCCCCCTGGAATTACATTCTGACCAAAGACGAAATTTTGAATCCGAATTATGGCAAGAATTGATGAAACTGTTAGGTATCCGGAAAACCCGCACTACGCCTCTCCACCCACAGTCCGACGGAATGGTAGAAAGACATAACCGAACGATATGCCAGTATCTTTAAATGTTCGTCTCTGATAATCAAAAAGACTGGGACACTTTAATTCCTCTATTTCTGCTAGCCTACCAAAGTTCTGAACAGGAAACGACGAATCATACTCCATTCATGATGATTACTGGAAGGGAGATGAAACTTCCCCAAGATCTTCTTTTTTGGAAGGTAGCCTCCTGGTGAAGAAGAGGGCCGTACACCTCCGACGTACATACAGAACTTAAGAGAAAAATTGGAGAAGGTACACGAATTCGCTCGGCAACGTTTAAAATTTAGTAGCGATAAAACAAAAGCTAGAATCGACATGCATGGTACAGGGACACATTTTGAGAGAAGCGAACCAGTATGGTTGTACAATCAATCCCAAGCGCCGAAAAGGACTTTGTCAGAAACTGCAACGGAACTGGGAAGGCCCTTACACCGTCCTCAAGAAAACTAACGACCTGATCTACCGCATTCAGTTATCAGCGGGAAGTAAACCCAAGATAGTTCACGTTGAAAAGTTAGCGCCATACCGTGGTCCTGATCCTCCCCGTTGGCTCCAACCAGGTCCCAGTAATTAAGATATTCGGGGCGGCTATTATAGAAAATGTACAGATAGACAAAGAAATGGAATGTTAGTCATCGCCTTACAGTGTGCTGCGGTCATCATAGGTAAAAGTACAAGTAAAAGAAGATAGAATAGTTCCAGAAATGTCTGGAAATATCATTACCCGTCAAGAATATTCTGGAAGACAGTTCGAGAAGGTTCGAGAAGGGTCTAGAAGGATCCTGACGTCAGTTTTCAGTTTTATGATGGACGTTACATGTTAATGTTGTATCGTTATTGTTAAAGTTGTATTAAGTTATTGTAAAGTTGAATTAAAATAAACTGTGATACCAAAAGTCAGTAAAACAATCTTTTTTAAAAGCTTAGTTTATTTAAAAATGTAAAATGTCAAGAGACCGTTTATTGTCTTTTTACATTGGCATCCTGTATTTGTTACTTTGGCTTTTTAAATCGAGGACATCGGTGGTAGAGGAGCGAATGTATTGCTAAACTATGGACGCTTTTCTACTCTCAGAGAATCAATTATTGTAAAATACATATTATTTTGTGCTATTGTGGAATATTTTTCGGTTCCTTTGTCTCAACTTCACGCGTTAAAGTTTAGAATATGTAAACCTCGTATTTACATGCAATTGTTTAAATTATGAATGAATGCTGATTTTGTTTAATCTCGGAAGTAGTTTTGTAGTATTTAGGTTTCACCCTTAAGTTTTAATTTTTATATCTACTATCGTTGCCCCGCAGTTCTTTCAGTTTTTAATGTAAATTTTCCTCTTAAATGGTAAGAAATTTAGATTAATTAAACTATCTGCAATTTTTGAAAATGTAAATATAAACCATAGTTACGAAATTAAGGATATCATCCCTTATATTTTTTTTATGATTCCCACAGCGATCCGTTATCGAGGCTGGAGACATCAGTCCTAACCAATGAACTGGAGTGGGGTAGAATGCAAATCTGCATGATGTATCAATAGAACTAGGTGCGACTCTATGGGCGCATTTTAATTGTTCATATTACTCGGGAGTATTTATAATAACCATGTTGGTTTTGGTGTTTTACATTGTTATTGTCCAGTCCACAATCTGGTGGACCAGATGTAAATAAAGTGAAATAGAAAATGATTATTATAAATACTCCCGAGTATTATGAAACATAAAATGGCTGCGCTCATAGATCTTCTTAATCCGATTGACAAGCATTCTACTTTACTCCAGTTTATTGGTCCTAACCTAATTCTTTAGCATGGATGCAGTGTAATCATCCGACTGAGTAATAGCCATTTCCGGCGAGTAGAATACTATTGAAAGTGGCAACAGGGCTTACACCGGCATGGATATCTACGTTATTTATTATAAGCGCACATCGCTCACACATTATATTCATTGATAAAATAAAGTTGTATCTGCGTAAAATCCTTCTCTTTAACTCCTCTCTTACTTTCAACTTTTCGTCTCCTCGCCGCAGACCCACAAATAGAGCGTATTGATTGTCGAATTAATATTGGCATCATGAATATTATATTTTATCAATGAATGGTTATATCTCCGTCATCTGTGATTGTGACCAACAATCCAGAAAAAAATTATTTATTAGACATTATCAATTATCTTCTGCACATCTAGCACGTATTTGATGAATCACCTTCAGCCAATTAGCGGTTAACTATCTATGACGTAGATTGAAAAACGATAAATGAACTTATGGTGAATGGGAAGGAGTAGGGCATGCAAATGCGTCTCAGTGCCGCTATGCAAACTCGAAAAGGAGGAAGAGCAGACTGAACCCAAACCTAATGGGGGAGCCTGCCGGAATGCCTAGGTAGGAAGGGGAGGAGAGGAATGCCTAAAGGGGTAAAAAAAATCTACTCCAAAGATTGACGGGTGACAAAAGTTCTAGTGTAGGTCTATTCAAAAGACAATAAAAAATGACGTTAAAATATATTAATAATATGTTATGAGTCTTTTTGTACTTTTGTACTTCTGTTCTAATTAAATATTTTTATTGAAATTTTAAATTGATATAGATAAAATTCTTTATGAAAAGATTAATTTTAAAAGTGAGATTATCAATAAAAAATACCTATCTCATGAGACAAAATATTAAAAATACATACACATGTTTAAGAACTATATCTCAAGTACCTACATAATTACGAGTATAAATTACATTAGGTAAGTAAAACAGTTTACTTTTTAAAGTAATAATATTAAAAATAAATTTTTGTAGGTTCCAAAATGAAATCATTTATCGTGTTTGCTACTACCATTTTGGTTGTCAATGCATTAACTGACTTGGACCACTGGCATTCTTTCAAGGTGACTATTATCCTGTCCTCTAAAATGTTATTTCAAATCTTATTTTACAGAAAGGGAAATATAATTTTAAATAACCAAATCCTCATTTAGATATAAGACTATTTGGTAATTGTTCTGTTCGCAATTAGTTTAAAACAGTAGACATATTATAATTGAAAAATTACTCTGTTCCCTTATTGATTTAATTATGTATATTTATTAAGTACAATTTAATTATATTTTAGGCTAAACATCTAAAAGTATACAAAAATATTGTAGAAGAAAAACAACGATTCAATATATTCCAAACTAACCTACGTATAATCGAGGAACATAATATCAAATACAATCAAGGTTCAACAGGTTACTATATGGGCGTAAATGCATTCAGTGATCTAACCCCAGAAGAATTTAGAACCATTTTTTTACGCAAACAAGTCTTTAAACCAGATGCTGAAAAAAATATAAAATACGCCACAAGCCATCTTCGTGTACCAGAGTCCGTAGATTGGAGAGATCATGGAGCTGTAACTGAAGTTAAGAACCAAGGAAACTGTGTATCTGGCTGGGCTTTCAGCTCCGTAAGTACTGAATAAAATAATGTTTAGCGAAAAATGTTGGTACAGCATGATCAAGTATATTTCAAACCATTTCAAATACTTATAACTTAAAAATTATTTGGGATATCAATGTCATATTTTCACAGAAGACTTGAAAATAGTGTTAGATATTTAGGACACATTTAACTATTGCACTGCAATGTCCAGTTACACTAGAAATAACATATCCTTCTTCAGATAGGGCAACTTTGTTATTTAGTATGAAATACAGTGTATATTTTAAGATATTTAAAAGTACCTTCTTCAGTAAAATAAAAAAAAAAAACGCAAGGATAGTGAGATACAAAAAAGCATAAAACACGAAAGAGCACTTACTTTGATTTTCTCTTACTATGCATAAAATGGTCGCACTGCGCATCTTTCTGAGTGCCTTTTAATAGGAGAAACATTTTGATGCCTTACTGCGTGTTGCCTACATCTTGGCTCAATATTTTTAGTAGGTGCGTTTTAATCATCCGCTTCTGCTTCGGGGAATTGTCGGTTTTCTTGTTTTAATCTGACAGGTTAAAACGACTAAACCGACAATTCCGGAAGCAGAAGCGGATGATTAAAACGCACCTGATATTTTGCTTGCTGCTGCCAGTGTCAGTGAATATTATTTTTGAAGTCACAGTTTATTGCTAAAGAATCAGTTAGATCACTCGGACCAGTTGAAAGTTCCAAAATAACATCCACTCCAGGGATACAAATTCAGGATTCGCAGAAGACTGCTGTTTTATTATAGGCGGTTTTCATATATTGTATAATCCTTAGTTGCGCAGTGTATAAACTGGAACATTAAGATCAAAAGTGCCGACGCAGAGTGAGCGAACTGTTTCTTTAGCTATAAACTGTGGTAAAGGCATTAAAATGGCCGCGCCCTATGTTGAGCGTGTCGGACCTCTCTCTTGCACCGTATAGTAATTAAAGTATGTGCGAAAGAGACATGGAAATTCAGATTATAAAAGATAAAAAATTGAAATCCTTTAGAAAGCTAACCAAGTACGAGACTGATTGTAATGTCAGATAAGCTTTCACGATTTTTAAAATAAAACTAACTATATAATGTTGGTATCCCTGTATTACCCAATAGAAATCCTAGACAACGAAACGTCAAAATATACTCACAGAACTCTGCACGGGTTTTTACCATTATCTCTGTAGTACTTATCTATGATATAACAGCTGTCTATCAGTCACACAAATATAAATATAACCCCATTATTAATAGCATAAATTATCGTTTAGTGATTGTGAAAAGGTATTTAGAATATTCACGACAATTAAATCATGATCTCAGTTAACGAAAAATGCTGTTTGTGAAGTTTATTTACCACAAGGATTGTTGTCAAGTGCTTGTGCAAAATTACCACAACAAGGATTGATATTAAAGGTAAATTTTAGCATAAATATTACAATTTGCACAAAGAATGTATAACAGAACGAGTTTACCTTTGCCTATTAGTGGTGAAGATATTTTAATTCTTGTAAAAATATTAAATTAAGTATAAAATTCCTATAATTTCAAACTCTGAGAACTGGATAATATTGTTACACTACACCCTGCAGTGGCCTGCGGCCGTTATAGGAAACGTACAATTACAAAAAGAAGTGCAATGTCACCCATCATACTATAGTGTGCTGCGATCATCATAAGTAAAAGTACGAGTAAAAGAAGATAGAATATTCCAGTAATGTCGGAAAACGTCATTATTTGTCAAGAAAATTGGGAGCAATGTTATGCAGCACCTTGCAGTAGCCTGCGGCTATCATAGGAAACGTACAGATAAAAAAAGAAGTGGAATGTTACTTATCGCTCTACAGTGTGCTGCGGTCGTTATAAGTAAAAGTGCAAGTAAAAGAAGATAGAATATTCCAGTAGTGTCTGGAAATGTCATTACCCGTCAAGAATATTCTAGACGACAGTTCGCGAAGGTTCGAGAAGGGTCAAGCAAGCTATATAAGGATGATCCTGACGTCAGTTTTCAGTTTTATGATAGTCGTTACACGTTATTAGAGAGTTATTGCAAGTTCACTTAAGGTCAGTCACTATTAGTGCCGCTCTTATTTTGACGTCTGAGAATGCGTAGATCATTACCTTTAATAAAAATTGTGCCTGTCCTTATTAAGAGAGTTATTGCAAGTTCACTTAGGGTCAGTCACTATTAGTGCAGCTCTTATTTTGACATTTAAGCATGCGCAGATGTTTATGTTCTAAAATTGACTTTATTAAGGATTATGCCTGACTTAATTGTGGATGTTTAAGGGCAGCAGGTAGTGGCGACTTTATGGCTTTCGGATGCGCTCGTCATTTATACCGTCTAAAATTATAATTTCTAATGCCTCTTTAATATTAGGTACTATTATAGAATTTATTTGACTCTAATTAAGATGACACTATTAGTGGATGGCTTTATAGAAATTTGCAATATCTCTCTATTAAGGACAGGCACAATCTTTATTAAAGTTAGTGATCTGCGCATGCTCAGATGTCAAAATAAGAGCGGCACTAATAGTGACTGACCTGAAGTGAATTTGCAATAACTCTCTAATGTTATCAGTTGCATTGTTATTGTTAAAGTTCAGTTGAAATAAATTGTGATACCAAAAAACTGCGTAATATTAGAATGTTACACTACACCCTGCAGTGGCCTGCGGCCGTTATAGGAAACGTGCAAATATGAAAAGAAGTGCAATGTCACCCATCACACTATAGTGTGCTGCGGTCGTTATAAGTGAAAGTACAAGTAAAAGAAGATGGAATAATCCCGAAATATTTGGAAATGTCATTACCCGTCAAGAATATTCTAGATGACAGTTCGAGAAGGTTCGAGAAGGCAAGCAAGCTATATAAGGATGATCCTGACGTCAGTTTTCAGTTTTGATGATAGGCGTTATTAATTGAAAAGTTATTTTTAAAGTTGAATGGAGTTATTGTAAAAGTTGAATTGTAATAAATTGTGATACCAAAAACCTGCGTAACATTGGTGACAGCGGTGGGATACAAAGTAGAAGTTCATGGTAAATACTAGATCCACTAAGTCCGAAACAGGCATGGATACTTCAGGCCCAACAGCATGGTTTTTGAAGATGGAAGAGGAGAGTGTAAGGCGAGAAGAGGAAAAGAAAAGACGTAGGAAGGAAGAAGAGGAGGAAAAGGAAAGGCATAGGAAGAAAAAGGAGAGGCGAGAAGATGAGAAGGAAGAGAGGCGTAAAGAAACTAAGGTAGAAATTATGAATGCTTTGCTACAAATCCAGGAAACCTTCAAGCAAGAGGTTGGTCAGCTTAAAATTAGAGTAGATCTTTTAGAGCAACAACAAGAGCATTTAAAAACTAATTTAGAACAGCAGCAAGAGAATTTAAAAACTAATTTAGAACAACAACAAGCTAATTTAAAACAACAGGAAAAGGCTAGAGTAGAGTTTGAAAGGCAAATTAGACATAAACTAGTTGAGTTAGAAAGAAGAATTCGTAGCATAGCTTCGATAAGCAACAGGGAAACTGTAAACACTACCTCGTCCTCATCTGTAATCGAACCGAGCCATACTCAACACCCAGTTTTACAAATCCATACTAGCAAGATCATTATGCCACTCACGTTTGACGATCAGACAACATGGAAAACGTATCGCCTCCAATTTGAAGCTGCAGCTAGAGCCAATGGCTGGGCTGAAAAGGAGATGGCAGCTGCATTGATAGTGTCACTGCGAGGTCAGGCAACAACCGTTTTACAGTTACTTCCTTAAGAGGAACCCAGTTATTCATCTCTCGTCCAAGCTTTGGAGACAATATATGGCTAGCAGCATTTGCAACGGGTATTCCAAAGGTTCGTAGTCAGAAACATAATTAGAGTCTACAGGAATTCGAGGATGATATAAGAAGGTTGATTCATCTGGCCTACCCACAGGTACCGAAACATTTCCAAGAACAACTCGGAATACAAGCATTTAGCAATGCAGACTATAAGATGTGGAAATGCCGCAAGTCCTACGTTTACAACATTACAAGACGCTGAGGGAGAAACTGATTGCAGCCCATAAATATGAAGCAGTAAAACTCCTCTCCGAATCTTCTCGCCCAAAAGTGAGGTAAATTAAATCCCAGGAAAGCGAGGAGGCCAATATTAATGCTATTCCCCAAATCTTAAATATCCTACGAAATATGCAACGAAACAGCCAAAATGGAAGCAGGAGATGCTTCAATTGCGGAAGAGTCGGGCACCTTCAGAGAAACTGTAGAACATGGCTCATTTTATAAATCAAAAATCAGCGAATGAGACCAGAAAATCATATAGATCAATCTTTCCAAGCCCATCACTAAGACCAACAAGAATTAATTACAGCAGCTATGAGTCCCGAAGAAGCCAATTACCCACACCGAGCCGGCTTTCTAATAATAACCAGAAAGTAGAGCATCAAGGAGGTCTCCATAGCAATGCAGACATTCTCTTCGGGCAACCCCGTTTAGAGGAACAATGCTGGTATGGTAAAAGGCTCAAAGAACAAGAAGAACCGATTGATAAAGTTACTCTTCGGGCAACCACTATCAAGCCAGAGGGAGACGAAGAAGAAATCACCCTTGAAAGTCTGAGACAGGGACAAAAGAAAGACAATGGCTTAAAGGTTGTCCGAGAATGACTCAAATATAAAGTCACACCTACTTGGCAAGAGATAGCCAAATACAGTAGAACTATAAAAGGCTACTGGACCCAGTGGGATATCCTGTATCTTCACGATGGCCTATTGCACCGGAAGTGGGAGAGCCCCGATGAAGTACATGTTGTCCGCCAAGTGATACTGCCGAGGTCACAGGTGAGAAATGTATTGGAGGAGCTTCATAGCAGCCGTATAGGAGGACACTTTGATAATAAAAGGATACTGGCACGAGTTCGGGAAATATTTTATTAGGTCAATTAACGACGGGATGTAGCGAATTGGTGTAAAAAATGTGATGTGTGCAATGGCAGGAGAGAGGTATATTG